TTATTCCTCTTATATATCCTTACCTCTTATTGAGACAATGAAACATTGCTGAAATTTGAGAAACTGTGCTAGAGAATGTCACAAATAAAAAAGCGCAATATAAAAAGCTGACTCAAAGGCAGAACGTTGAAGATAACAAAAAGGAACAGTTGACCCATAACCCGGTCTTGTCTGATGATGCATACATATTGATTGCTGTTATCGTAAGAAAGTTCCATTCAGTTAATGAAAATAATATCAAGCAAATATTTGGGATTCATGAGTCATAGTTGTCTCCCCTAACTATGTCTAAAAAGAATCGTTCGAACAACTTAACTGTTACCGATCCGGTGGCTTATTGTTAGAGCGTCCACCTTGGATGCGGGAGGTCGTGGGTTCGATCCCTGGATCAGTCATACCAAAGACCTATAAAAATAATACTAACAACTTCCTCGCTTGGCGCGCAACATTAAGAGGGTAGTGTTAGGACTGATCGGCCTTGGAATAACCAGTTTTCGAAATGCGGAACTTATGAAAACACTAGACTAGAAACTTTCTTATTTGGAAAATCAAAAAGAGTTAACTTAAACAATTATTGTCTGAATATAAGCATTTGTTTCCAGATATGCCTACAAGGACAAACAATATTTTCTTTTTAAGTTGAAAAAGTACATTTAAAACCCATAAAACAACAAATATAAAGGAATAATCCTTTTAAAGAAGAATACATGAAGGAAAAAAGATTCAATATATACAGGTCAAAGATTTGTAGAACCTAGTAAGAATGATTGGAGTTCACCGTGCATTCTTTTCCGAAACCGGATAAAACTTAACGAATGTGTACAGATTATAGGAAGGTGAACAGTGTGACAAAAATAGACTCATTTACATTACCGAGAATCGATGACTGTATCGAAAAAATTGGAAATGCCAAATACGTCACTGAATTCGACCTTCTCAAGGGTTTTTGGCAAATTCCACTAACGGAAAGAGGAAAAGAAGTCTCGGCATTTGCGACTCCAGATGGACTCTTACCAGTACCAGTACAAAGTAATGCATTTTGGGATAAAGGGTTGTCCAAGTACTTTTCAAAGCCTTATGAATATGATTACGTCTGGTCTAGACAATTGTGATGCCTATATTGATGATGTCAATATCTACAACAACACCTGGAAAGAACATCTAGCCACGATTCGGAAGTTCTTCGACGGACTCACAGATGCAAATTTGACTATTAATTTATCTAAAAGAGAGTTCTGCCGTTCGTATGTTACTTTTCTAGGACATATTGTGGGACATTGTCAAATTAAACTTATAGATGCTACGGTCAAGGCTATTTCTGAATTTTCTGTGCCAGTTAATAGAAAACAGCTGATGCGGTATTTGGGTATGGATGGGTACTACCGCAAAGTTTGTTCTAATTTGTCTGCTATTGTTGAACCTATGACAAACTTGTTGAGAAATAAAAACAAGTTTTTTTTAACTGAAAAATGTAGAGGCCATACTTGAAAGTACACCAGTTTTAACAGCTCCAGATTTCAGTAAACCATTTAAATTGTCTGAGGCTGCGAGTGATATTGAGGTTGGAGCAGTCTTGCTTTAAGATGACAAAAACTCTCGTGGAACACAGTGTGCTATTTCTTTCAAGATATTAAATAAACACAAAAAACTACTCAACAAGCGAGAAGAAATGCTTGGCTTTAATGCTAGTATTACATCATTTTGAAGTTTGTATCAGCTCAGCTCCATCTCCGGTTGTTGTCTTTAGTGATCACAACCCCGTCACTTTTCTCAGCAGAATAAAAAATAAAATTCAAAGGCTTTAAATATGGAGTTTACTTTTGCAAGAATATAATCTTAACATCAGGATCATTATAGGAAATGGATAATTTGTTTGCAGATTCACTTTCCCGTGTATATAATTGTCATTTTCAAATACCCTTTTTTGGTAAATACATAAGAGTTCTTCATGTGTAAATTTTTTATCTCGAGTATAATTTACATGTGGTGAAAAAGAATGATGAATTACATATATCTTTCCATTTTCTGAATGACTAAAGTTATGTGTTAGAATTCTGACTTATTATTTTATTTTTAGTAAAGTTTAATATGTGTTAATGATTAAAAATAGGACTGTAATAATGAATTCTGTATAAATCTTATTATTTTAATTTTATTTCATTTGCATATCATTAAAACTAATTATCATTATTATCATTGTTATTATTATTATAATTATTATTATTATAATTATTATTATCATCATCATCATTACTGTTATGTTATCATGGATCTAATATTTGTTAGAAACACTGTGTTTACTTAAATCGTAAATGTGACTCATGTAAGCACGAACTTTGCATGATAGTAAATTCGTCGCAAGTAAACATTCAGAATATGCGATGTAAATGATTGGCTGAAAATTTTCAGGCTTTCCTAATCTCCAGATGAATTGCGAAATCACACGTGTTCTTCGTGCGTGTATACATGAAAGGAAGTATTAGTTTTCTTATATGCTTAGTAATCTGTAAGAAAGTTCAATGGTAGCCATAATTGCAGTATATTCACCTTTTTCAACATCTTATAGAGTCACCTAGCTTTTATTACCTTAAAATGGTATATTTGTGCTGGAATAAGTTATATGTTTGTGTGTCTACGTGGAAGGACCTTTGTTTTGTTAGTAGAGATAATTGTACTTCGTCAACTTTCTAAATAATTGTTTTTCCTGGAAAACATCACTACTGGTTTTGGACAAAGACATTTGCTGAAATTACTTCTAAGTTGGAACAGAACAATTTAAATTGTGTTTCACTGTGCAAATTCTGGACATTCTGTGTTAGCTTTCGTCTGACGTCATCATCCACCATCCTAGATCTAAGTGAAGTGTTCAGGCTATCAATTTAGAACTGTTTGTTCACAGCACTTGTGTGTTTCCACAGCTTCAGAACAAATATTTTGGATCTTCTTCGTAAATGGTAATTCTTGTTTCATATAGTTACCTTTTCTATAGGTTTTGAAGAGAAATAAAAAATTTTTGTTAAAATTTACAAAGTTTGTTGTCTTCACTCTTTCTTTGTTTTACTTTGAATGAGCCGATGTGTAACAATACAGTGAATACAGTTAGCTGTGAAAGACCAGAAAATTGGTGGGATGGACATAGACATCTTTCTTTCTAATATCAGTATATGAACAGGACCCTACTTCTATAAGAAACGTGCATCTCTATTATATCCTTTGGTCTCCTTTTCACGTGTATACATTAGAAACTTCCATAAACCTACAGACTTCCATAGACCAATAGCAAATGCAAAAAACGTCTTATTCCTTCTAATAGATGCTCAATGTCAATGACAATACATTTTTTTTCCTTCATCGAATATTGTTGTCACAATGGTCAGGTTTGATACAATATTCAAGTCTCACGTATAAACTCCTTTCATGGCTTTGCAGGAGAGAGAGATTATCTAATATTTGTGTTTCGTGTGCTTTAAAGCTGTGATCTGTTTGAATACGTAATGAAATTTTCTCATCACTTTGAGGCACACCGAAGCCTCAGCTTGGTTGTTACTTGGCTACATTTTTGGAAAATGTTTACTCTAATGGCAGTGAAATTCATGGAAATAAAAGGGAAATACCAGAAGCAATAAAAGGTAATAATTCGAAGTAGAGAGACAAAATCTCTGCCCCGGGTGAGGATCGAACTCACGACCTTCAGATTCCTCTTTACAATTGATTATGAGACTGACGCGCTACCTGCTGCGCTACCGAGGCTATATACTCTCACCTGAGCGATTACATCTTCAAAAGAAACCAAATTCATTTTCTCCAGAAGCCATGCGCTTGAGCATGCGTCAGGGACTCAAATGATTTACCCCGAGGCGTAGATGTAGAACATGGTAGAAAACATTGAGACTAAACATAAAACGTGTTCTAAACAGCAATAATTGTCAACTATATCATCTTTCTAAAGGGAGGTTCATTTTATCGGCATTCAGATACGTTCATAGAATCCGAATGCATGGCAACACTTGTTATTACAAGAAAATAGCCTCTCATTGTAGATGCGTGGGCGATAATACTTTAAATTTACTGCTTACATATTGTACAAACTGTTATTGACGGGAAGGCTATTAATGCTATTGATAACAAAGTTGTTTTTCTTTATAAACATTAAGACTTATGGAGCACGGTCCAATGCCAATTTTCAAATGATAAAGATAGAAATTAAACTGCATATGAAAATATTTTCAATTTTCTAAAAGTTCAAACACAGGATGTGTGGAAGAGCAAACGCAGAAGCTGTGGCTAAAACTAACTGCGTTTTATTTTAGCGCTTTCTGGTTAGAGAGGTTAAATGTATTGGAGGACTCCTATGCAAGTAAACCTATTGCAGGACTCCTATACAAGTAAACGTATTGCAACACAAGTTGAATCAGTCTTCTATCACGTGGTCTGAACATAGAGCAAGTAATAAGTTTTTCTAATGATAGGCATTGGTGAGGTTGGCCCTTATGTTTATTGAATCAACGTTCACATTGGAGGATTGTCAACCCGGTCTCGTATGCACTTGAGAATTTTCTTTCTCTGTAGTACTTGATAACAGATAATACTGATGGCCACTAAGATATGTTTCTTGCTGGTGGTGTGGAAAGGATAGAATTTAGTAGACTACAAGTTCAAAGTTCAGACAGTAATTGCCTTTCACAGAATCGATTTAATTCCTCTTATTGAGACAATGAAACATTGCTGAAATTTGAGAAACTGTGCTAGAGAATGTCACAAATAAAAAAGCGCAATATAAAAAGCTGACTCAAAGGCAGAACGTTGAAGATAACAAAAAGGAACAGTTGACCCATAACCCGGTCTTGTCTGATGATGCATACATATTGATTGCTGCTATCGTAAGAAAGTTCCATTCAGTTAATGAAAATAATATCAAGCAAATATTTGGGATTCATGAGTCATAGTTGTCTCCCCTAACTATGTCTAAAAAGAATCGTTCGAACAACTTAACTGTTACCGATCCGGTGGCTTATTGTTAGAGCGTCCACCTTGGATGCGGGAGGTCGTGGGTTCGATCCCTGGATCAGTCATACCAAAGACCTATAAAAATAATACTAACAACTTCCTCGCTTGGCGCGCAACATTAAGAGGGTAGTGTTAGGACTGATCGGCCTTGGAATAACCAGTTTTCGAAATGCGGAACTTATGAAAACACTAGACTAGAAACTTTCTTATTTGGAAAATCAAAAAGAGTTAACTTAAACAATTATTGTCTGAATATAAGCATTTGTTTCCAGATATGCCTACAAGGACAAACAATATTTTCTTTTTAAGTTGAAAAAGTACATTTAAAACCCATAAAACAACAAATATAAAGGAATAATCCTTTTAAAGAAGAATACATGAAGGAAAAAAGATTCAATATATACAGGTCAAAGATTTGTAGAACCTAGTAAGAATGATTGGAGTTCACCGTGCATTCTTTTCCGAAACCGGATAAAACTTAACGAATGTGTACAGATTATAGGAAGGTGAACAGTGTGACAAAAATAGACTCATTTCCATTACCGAGAATCGATGACTGTATCGAAAAAATTGGAAATGCCAAATACGTCACTGAATTCGACCTTCTCAAGGGTTTTTGGCAAATTCCACTAACGGAAAGAGGAAAAGAAGTCTCGGCATTTGCGACTCCAGATGGACTCTTACCAGTACCAGTACAAAGTAATGCATTTTGGGATAAAGGGTTGTCCAAGTACTTTTCAAAGCCTTATGAATATGATTACGTCTGGTCTAGACAATTGTGATGCCTATATTGATGATGTCAATATCTACAACAACACCTGGAAAGAACATCTAGCCACGATTCGGAAGTTCTTCGACGGACTCACAGATGCAAATTTGACTATTAATTTATCTAAAAGAGAGTTCTGCCGTTCGTATGTTACTTTTCTAGGACATATTGTGGGACATTGTCAAATTAAACTTATAGATGCTACGGTCAAGGCTATTTCTGAATTTTCTGTGCCAGTTAATAGAAAACAGCTGATGCGGTATTTGGGTATGGATGGGTACTATCGCAAAGTTTGTTCTAATTTGTCTGCTATTGTTGAACCTATGACAAACTTGTTGAGAAATAAAAACAACTTTTTTTGAACTGAAAAATGTAGAGGCCATACTTGAAAGTACACCAGTTTTAACAGCTCCAGATTTCAGTAAACCATTTAAATTGTCTGAGGCTGCGAGTGATATTGAGGTTGGAGCAGTCTTGCTTTAAGATGACAAAAACTCTCGTGGAACACAGTGTGTTATTTCTTTCAAGATATTAAATAAACACAAAAAACTACTCAACAAGCGAGAAGAAATGCTTGGCTTTAATGCTAGTATTACATCATTTTGAAGTTTGTATCAGCTCAGCTCCATCTCCGGTTGTTGTCTTTAGTGATCACAACCCCGTCACTTTTCTCAGCAGAATAAAAAATAAAATTCAAAGGCTTTAAATATGGAGTTTACTTTTGCAAGAATATAATCTTAACATCAGGATCATTATAGGAAATGGATAATTTGTTGCAGATTCACTTTCCCGTGTATATAATTGTCATTTTCAAATACCCTTTTTTGGTAAATACATAAGAGTTCTTCATGTGTAAATTTTTTATCTCGAGTATAATTTACATGTGGTGAAAAAGAAAGATGTATTACATACATCTTTCCATTTTCTTAATGATTGAAAGTGTTAGGACAATGTAGTAAAGTTATGTGTTAATGAATTCTGTATAAATCTTATTATTTTATTTTTATTTCATTTGCATATCATTAAAAGTAATTATCATTAATATCATTGTTATAATAATAATAATAATAATAATAATAATAATAATAATAATAATAATAATAATAATAATAATAATAACATGTGGTGAAAAAGAAAGATGTATTACATAAATCTTTCCATTTTCTTAATGATTAAAAGTGATAGGACAGTGTTGTAAAGTTATATGTAATAATGAATTCTGTATAAATCTTATTATTTTAATTTTATTTCATTTGCATATCATTAAAAGTAATTATCATTATTATCATTGTTATTATTATTATAATTTTTATTATTATAATTATTATTATCATCATCATCATCATCATCATTACTATTATGTTATCATGGATCTAATATTTGTTAGAAACACTGTGTTTACTTAAATCGTAAATGTGACTCATGTAAGCACGAACTTTGCATGATAGTAAATTCATCGCAAGTAAACATTCAGAATATGCTACGTAAATGATTGGCTGATACACGTTCAGGCTTTCCTAATCTCCAGATGAATTGCGAAATCACGTGTTCTTCGTGCGTGTATACATGAAAGGAAGTATTAGTTTTCTTATATGCTTAGTAATCTGTAAGAAAGTTCAATGGTAGCCATAATTGCAGTTTATTCACTGTTTTCAACATCTTATAGAGTCACCTAGCTTTTATTACCTTAAAATGGTATATTTGTGCTGGAATAAGTTATGTTTGTGTGTCTAAGTAGAAGGACCTTTGTTTTGTTAGTAGAGATAATTGTACTTCGTCAACTTTCTAAATAATTGTTTTTCCTGGAAAACATCACTACTGGTTTTGGACAAAGACATTTGCTGAAATTACTTCTAAGTTGGAACAGAACAATTTAAATTGTGTTTCACTGTGCAAATTCTGGACATTCTGTGTTAGCTTTCGTCTGACGTCATCATCCACCATCTTAGACCTAAGTGAAGTGTTCAGGCTATCAATTTAGAACTGTTTGTTCACAGCACTTGTGTGTTTCCACAGCTTCAGAACAAATATTTTGGATCTTCTTCGTAAATGGTAATTCTTGTTTCATATAGTTAACTTTTCTATAGGTTTTGAAGAGAAATAAATTATTTTTGTTAAAATTTACAAAGTTTGTTGTCTTCACTCTTTGTTTTACTTTGAATGAGCCGATGTGTAACAATACAGTGAATACAGTTAGCTGTGAAAGACCAGAAAATTGGTGGGATGGACATAGACATCTTTCTTTCTAATATCAGTATATGAACAGGACCCTACTTCTATAAGAAACGTGCATCTGTATTATATCCTTTGGTCTCCTTTTCACGTGTATACATTAGAAACTTCCATAAACCTACAGACTTCCATAGACCAATAGCAAATCAACAAACGTCATATTCCCTCTAATAGATGCTCAATGTCAATGACAATATATTTTTTCCTTCATCGAATATTGTCACAATGGTCAGGATTGATACAATATTCAAGTCTCACGTAAAAAAACTCCTTTCATGGCTTTGCAGGAGAGTGATAGATTATCTAACATTCGTGTGCTTTAAAGCTGTGATCTTTTTGAATACGTAATGAAAGTTTCTCATCACTTTGAGGAACACCGAGCCTCAACATTCTGTAGGTCTACGTATAATGACCAATGTTTTGTTAGTAGAGATAATTGTACTTCGTCTACTTTCTAAATAATTGTTTAACCTGGAGAACATCACTACTGGTTTTGGACAATTTACCGTTGATAGAATTAATAGTCGTCTTGGTCACACATGCGAAAATGTAATTCTGACCAGTTTGGAGTGTATTGGATGTCGTGGGGTTGCAAGTTTATAAAAGTGTGCTTGGTGGTAATTGTGTATCCACAGGAATTATTTGTAATTGTTCGCCTACAAATCCATGCTGAGGAGCACTTTAATCTAATCTGTAGTTTACAGGTCTACCTGTGGACCTTACCTCGCTGGATATTTTGTATGTGGTCACACTCCAAATAGGATCAGTTGCTCTTTTTCTACCTCCTTCAAGTTCGCCAGATTCATATAAATATCTAATAGTAACATTAGCAAGCACTGGTTGAGAAAAATTTTCACGTTTTAATCTTTATATATTTTTTGTGATCGCTTTAGACGGTTTCTTAGAATTTGCACGAGTAATTTCCTTATTCAATGCAGATATTACACATGGTAACCTCACAACTCATTCACGAGATCTTGTATCTTTGGATGTTTCCTTTACATATTGATATCCTTATAACCGCTCACCATGCATTCGATTAAATCTTTCAACTATTGCCTGATCAAGATGAATTTCCGTGTGTTCTTGTCTGATTTTAAGGTTGTGCTTGTTCATCAACGATGATACTGCACCAAGAAAGTCTTTGCCAGGATCAAACTGTAATATTTGTGACCATCTTAGACCACTATTTGTTCCGGATCCTCGCTGATAAATTCGTTCAAACACAAAAGATCTTCAGTTGTTGTTTTTGTTGATAATGGTTCTATTCCACTTCTTTATATCTACTCGCTACGTCAACGATAGTTAATGCGTATCTGCATGTGTATTGACGTCTGCCAATTTTAATGGTATCGTGTGATAAAACAATATATCCGCTTGATGAACTTCATTAGGGGTACTGACATCGAAATATGCGTATCGAATTTTTTTTAGGTGGTGGTAGATAGATTTGCCATATTGCCTATCTTGCTAACCACACTGCAGCAACATCACGTGAAATTTTTGCTGAGGCAGCAAGTTTACTAATTGCTGCTTTACCTCTCCAATATCCTCTGGGGGAAAATAAACATATTGTATTATAATAATCAGTTGATTAATTACCAGTCCCTATCATTATTTTACCTTTCATAGCAGATTTTACTAGAAAATTAGCGAGTTTTTCTTTAAGAGATTTATTAGGTATATAATTTAAGGCTTGAATTAACTTTACTCCTGCGAGATGTCATTGCTGCAAATCTGAACTTTTATACGCGACATCAAGAATGTGACACGCTTGATCAATTCTATTTACTGGAATCTCTCCAGGGTTTGGTTGGTCTTGGTTATCGAGTCTGATATCGAGACAAGGTCTCTAGGACCACAATAATTATATCCCGGAAGATGTTTCTCGCCAGGATGTTTTGCCCATGGAGCTCCTAGCAATTTTCATAATAAAGCGGCTCTATCACCACCACGCGCTATTTGCGACACGGAAACAAAGTTATATTTGCTTGTACCACATTTCACACACTTACCTGTAAGTGCGTGTCTCTTATTTTTTGTTGTTATCGTTGCCAATC